CAGCACACCTGTGCCTATTTAATGTCTCCATAGCTGTTGTTGTGGATTAGCATTTCATCAGGATGGATTAAGATTGAATTGACATGAAGCTCTCATACTCTCCACCATCTCTCCTTTTCTTGCCAGGGAATTTTTTTTCTCATGGTATAATTTTAAATAAATTTTAAGTCTTGTGAATGCGTAAAGCCTGCCTATGTGTGTTTGTATATAAAATAGCACTTAGTGGTCATGATCTGTGGTAGAAAATATACTAAAGATGTGTGTAGGGCCTGATGCAGTTGCATCCATCAGGCTAAAATAGTGTCACATGGAACAAAAGCTTTCGAGTTTTATTTAGCCTTTAATCCTCACACAGTGTTTGTGTATTTGTCCATGTGAGCTAGCCATTGCAGGCAGGAAGGGATAAATCTGGATTAAGCAGAGCAACTCCTTTCTGCATCTGAATTACACAGAAAAGACCTTTCCATTCTACTTATTTTGAGCCAGGCTGAGTTACTGTTAGATGTTTCTTGTTTTGCAACTAAAGTTTCGAAGAATAAATAATTCAGGCAGCACTTTGAAATAGTAAACCACCTGCTGGACTATTTCCTAAAGCCCAGAAGGATTCAGATACAGGGCTTCTGGGTTTTTTTTGTATTTGTTTATGTGTGTAACCTAAGATTTTACAGGAGAGCTTTCCTGTCCTTCTTAAAAGCTAAATATTGCTGAATGCCAGTTCCAAGCAGACATATTGGCCGCTCTCAGAGCTGGGATGCTGCAGGATGGGACGAAGGCTCCTGGGAGAACGACGCTACATTTCAATGCCAGAGACCTCCAGGGAGAAGGAATTCACTAACCTATGGTGGTGAGGGATTTTGGTGTGAGCAGCCAAGCTGTAAACCACATGATATCATCTTGCAAGGAGGTACGGACTTGAAACAAGATTTGTATCGATATCCGGAGCCACATTTTACACAGCGTTCCTTTTGGAGAGGTTCCATTCCTGATTTTGCATATTACGACAGACAGCCTGCGATGTCCGCACGGAGTTCCTTGCCACCTCAGGATTACTACAATGATCCTTCTTTAGCTACTAGATCACCCAGAGATTCATGCTACTATAGAGATCATGTGACTAACAGACCTTTATCGAATTATGGCATGCCTGGGGGTAGATTGGCTTGGGACCAGATGCAAGTACGGTCACCTGTACCACATGAAGCCAGCCATGTATACAGAGATCCTGTGATCAGGATGGTTCCCGAAGCACAGAGAATTCGAAATAGAGATCCTTCTCTAACAAGGTATGGTGTTGAACCCCCTGCATCTAGATGTAGAGGAGAACCTTCTGTATTTCCTTATCGACAAGTTTATAATGACGTAGTAGACAGATCTGTAGATTCTGCAGCCAGTAAACAAGTTGCTCCAACATGTTTGGTAGTAGATCCAAATTCAGCTGCAGCCCCTGATGGAAATGTAATGCTGCCTGCCACTTCTGTAAATCGTGGTCATGGACCAGTCAGAGACAATTTCAGTACAAAAATCCCTTATGATGGCTATGAAGCAACAATGACATCTTCCCAAATGCAGATGCCTGCATCTTTTCCAGGACAGAACATTAAAAGGAATGTGGATCCAGAATATTTAGCCATGATGCGTTCTGAAGGAATATCAGAAAGCACTCTTGGTGCGTTGCTGCAGCAAGGATTTGATTCTCCAGGCTTGCTAGCAATGATGGAGGACAATGACATAAAATCAGTAGCTCCAAATCTAGGGCAGGCAAGAGTGCTTTCTCGAATTGTTCATACCTATAAAGTAGAAATGCAACTCCAGAGGCAGTCTAGGAAAAATGCTGCTATTTGTCCCAGAAACAGATCAAATAGTTTTAGTCACCGAAGCGAATTGCTCCAGAATGAGTACGGGACCCATCCTTTCACCAACCCTGTGGTGGATGGTGTAGCTGCATATCAGTCACCAACTGCTTCAATGCAACCGCAGTCTCCAAGAATAGCAGAATTAACTCGCCGTCCATCTAGTGCCCCAACACAACATCTTTTGGAAACTGCAACAGGGTTTTCTCCTCAAGTCACTCCTTTCCTTCCCAGTTCTGGATATAGTGCTTCGGGCCCATGCAATATGCATATTCGTCAAGCAACTGGCTATTCTGGCCCCTCTGCGAGTCCTATGAATACGCTGCAAACAAATCCACATGCAAATTCCAAAATAGCCTATTCAACCACATACACCGTACCCATGGAACTGATGAAAAGAAATCCACTATCCTCCCCTGCTCACAGCCCTCACAACAGTCCTCAGATTCTTCGAAAGCAAGGAGTCCAAGTCGAACCCAATCTGGCTCCAGTGGGACTGAGTTTTCCTGGATATCATTCGCCATGTCAGAAATCTACAAGGCGTACAGGTCCACCTGTCATCGTCTCCACCATGACATCTCCTGAACCAAGTAACTATTTTAAAATATATTGCTTTGCTGAATTCATTAGGATTGTTATATTAATGCTTTTTTAAAAAAACAACAACTAATTCTAATGAGGTTAGAACAAATGTATACTGTTGCATCAAAATGAGGAGTATTAATCTATAATATACATTCTTAGGCACACTCTTTTGTATAGTAAATAACTCCAATGTTGGAAGTCATTGTTAAGTTTCAGTTTAAGTGTTAAAAATGGTTTATTACAAATTAAAGAGGCAAATATACAAAGTCTTTAGTATGTCATGAATCTTGCCTTTTGTTTTACTTGCAGTGTTTGTAAGATTAGATAATTTGCTTTCTACTTTTATTTTTTGAGTGATTTTGTTTAATTATTATCAGCTCAAGGATATTTCTAAGGAATTGATGAGAATATTTATTAAGTTTGCCATGTTGTGTTCCTAGGTCTTGTTAGCCAGTGTTCTTCCTTTCTAAAATAATCTTTCCTAAACAAAACTTTGTTGATTTCTATTGGAAATATCCACCACTAAAGAAGTAATTAACAAAATAAATTTGTATATATCTAAATCCAAGTGCCAATTGTCAAAATGCTTGGCATGTTAATGAAGAGTACATGTCCTTTCTAAGGTTGATCAAGCTGAACAAATTACTGTCCCTTTGCAAAGGAGCAGATCCTTAAGTAAGATGTGTTGAGTAAATTCCAATAAAAGCTGTAAGAGTCACTGAAATTGTAGGAATCAGAAGTTAGAAAATGTATTTCCTCTTTTCAGAAGACAAGTTGGCAAAAATTAGTTTGTACCTGGGCTGTATACTATACATATCTTGAAGTGGGGGGGAGAGAAATCCTTCTGAATTAAGTGGGGTTCACATTAAGTAAATGTTCTAACAATTAATTAGCATGGAGCCTTGAAAAACAGATTGCTGCTTTTCCCTAAATAAAGAAAATAATATAAAAATATAATATAAAATAATATAATATAATATAAAATAATATAAAAATAATAAAGAAAAATAGCGAACACCATCAAGACCCAGAAATGTATTTCAGTCCCATGGATTTTAGTGATGTATCTTTTAACACTCGTTTACTGTATTTTAAAGTGCTCACTTGGAGCTGGATTGTGTCCCCACTATATCGGTTCCAAGCATTAAAATAATGCCTCTTTTTGTAAAGCAGCTTTATTTCAACAAGGCAACCAATACAATTAACAAAAGGCAGGCTTACTGCCTCTTCTATTTTAAAATATAAATTGCTCAAGTTACATTTTTGGAAATAATACATATAACTTAAATAGTTGAGAGCACTGTATTTAAGTATATATTAGGAACCAATTTAGTTTCTATTCTTTACAATTAAATAGTAAGGAAAAAGCTTATATTGAGAAATGTAGCCCTGTAGTATTAATACCGAAGTGGTTATTTTTCTAGTCCTGGTGCTTATTTTGGTAGAATGAAAACTTCTGATTAGGATTGAAGTGAAAACAGCTGGGTCTCACTGCAGTTTTTGAAGGATGTTCAAGAATTATTTTTGTAAAATTGTGTGCATATGAAGACATTTTTCAACTTGTGAGGGGAAGTTTGTTTGTTTTAAAGATCAATACAGAGTCAAATAGCCAGTGACTTTTTTTATAATTATTTAGTGCTGTCTCAAACAATTAAAAAAAACAAAAATTAAACAACTTCCCAATATAGTCCTACTCTAACTAATAATATCTCCCAGCATCCAGCAGATATTTTTCTACAGAATTTTTGTATTTTTTGAATGGTGGCAAACATTTATGCCATACATGATGGAAATGAGTTCTCCATATCGTCTCTGCCCTGAAAACAAAAGGCCCTAGTATAATACTAAAAGTATGTGTACCTTAGAATATGTTGCTGCCTTTCTTCTTATTAAACTATGCAATCCATCTTTATATGGTGGATAAACCATGGTTGTCTTTGTTTTTGAAACTATTTGCTTGCTATAAGACAATATAGACAGTGCAGTTAGATGTGGATCAACATCCTTCTTGAGGCAAACATTCTTTCTCTACAACCAATTCATTTGCATGAGGATGACATTTGTTGCTCCAGTAATTTCATCTGATAATGGCCAGCTTGCAAAGCGGATCTCAAAACATATTCCTTAATTATGTGTTGCTAAGCAACGAGAGGGTTTGGTCATAATCACAGAAAGATTATCTTTCTATTGAAGTCGCTGAAAAGGTTTAGCTGAAGTAGGACCTTCAGCTAAAATTTGTCACTGTTCTTGTTTTGTTCTGTTTTGTTTTTCATCTAAAACAATGAACAGAGGTATTTCCCCCTCTTCTTAAAATGTATATTTAATTAGGGCTTAAGCAATGGTCTATTATGAAATAGGTGATATGAGAATTCCAGGATCATTTAATTACGAAGAAGTGAATGTGTTGATGTAAATCCATTCTTAACCAATATAATTAAATAGTAATTTGTTATATACAATGCATGTAAATACAATCACATATTTAAACTGACTGGTCAAGGGTAAAGCATTCATATTTTGTGATATATTTTCTTAAAAGGGATATGTTATGAACACCCATGATTTTTTTACCCATACACTTAATAAACTATATTGACTTTAGAGAGACTTGCTTCTAAGTAAACATGATTAAGATTAAACTGCTAATAAGTATTGATGCTTGCTATTAAATTTCAGTAATTCTTTATACTCTTATATAGAGAACTATTAATTGTTTGTCTAATTGCAATAGATGAAGCTGGATATATAAATATCTTTAATATTGTTGTTTTAATTTTTTTTAATTGGTATCTAAATTACACTTAAGTAGTACAAGGGAGTAAGCTCCATTAAATATATGACATTTACTTATGAGTTAAGAAAGTATGGCATAGTTATAATAAAATGTAATTGATTGGATTCGGAATACTGATTCCAAAACAAACTAGCATCCCAGAAGAGGCTCTTTCTGAAGAAAGAGGAAGATAAAATTTTCATATGTACTCCTGTGTCCTCCCCTGATTTGTTCTAGAGCGGGGCTGTCAAATTTGCGGCCCACGGGCCAGATATATCACACACTGGCCACACCCAATTTAATGAAGGGGGGAGTCCTGATACGTCATGCGATGCCGCTGTGATGACGTGAGTTTGACACCCCTGTTCTAGAGCAATTACCAAACCACTGGTGGACACAAGTTGTTATAAAATGAAAAAAAAACACTATGACTTCTAATTTAGTATGCATTATATGTCCATAATATTTACAGAGAATGGTAAAAACAAAAAAACTAAAGGACTTTTGACATTATGGGAAATCAACAGATGGTAGGGAGTAGGTAGGAAATGAAAAAACAAAGATAAAACATGTCATTAATCTGGACAAGTTCATTTACATACAATTTTTTTTTTACAAATATCAAGATTTCCTAAATCATTTTGTACCTAAGTGATTGAAACTCAATGTTGTGGAACATATAATTTTGAAAATGATTTTACTTGCATTTCTAAATTCAAAACAAATGCCAAAGTGGTAAACAATTAAATAACAATTTCCAACAAACCAATTTATGCTTTAAGGTTATTCCTTTCTTGTGTACATTACTAGGGGTATTATTGTTGTAAAGAGTGAAATAAGAATAAACAGTGCCAAGTTGTCTCCAATATCATTTCCCCATTTTATTAAAACTGTAGACAGTTAAAAGGTCATAAATGTTTTAATATTCCATGAGTGGCATCTGTGGTTTGTTTACTGTTGTCAAGACCTTGGCAGCCAACTTTAACTTAACCAGAAACAATCTTCTTCAATATTTACTGAATATTTAACAAAATTTACTGAAAGTAAAGGTGCAAAGTTACAGAGTTCTCAGCAGGTAGATTGCTTCCACTTTGAAATCCAATTTATTTCTTGGTTGAAAAAAACAGAGGCTTTTTCAGTTTTAAGGTTTATTTCTCTTATCTAGCCATTATAAAAAGAAGCCAGGACAAACTTTATGTAATAGTGGGACACAGCTGTTCTTTGGTTTTATAGCCTCATTTGCAATATTATTTTAATTTGGCCATTATTTCATTGTCTCATGTTAGGTTTCATCTCAGTTCTCCTGATGACTTTCTCATGATTCAGTTCACATGATTCAGAAACGTTAGAAGCAGAAGTAGAGTATAGTGAAGTTTGTACTTTTAAAATGATTGATTGACCCTGATCGTCCAGATTGCAAATACTGCAATCCTAGGTTGTTGTGGTGTAAGTCTGTTTTTTATTCTCTGTGGCTAAAGGGAAGCATTGATTCCCCTCTTATGTTCCTCTCAGTCTTGTAAATTGACTCTGAATTATTTTGGAAAGCTCTAGTGCTAAAAAAAAATAATAAACAAAAGAAATCAGCATGGCTAAATTGGATGGCATACATAGGAGATGCTTTAGATCCCAAAATGTCAATCCTCACATTCTGTGCCCCCTGTGTCCCCTTCTTGGGCTGATATTGTGGTCAATTTTAAAAATATTATAGTAACGTTGATGAATATATCTTATCAATAGCAGGATATAAAGAATCACAATGCCTTTAACGTTGGAGGGGAGGACTCTTGAAAACTGACTTTGAATTGTCTTGCCTGTGACTTAACTGCCAAAGAAATAAAAAGGATAAAACCTATGATATTAATGAGAGTGTCAATGAATTTTAACTTATTAAATTATCAAATTATCTCTAATTATGAAACTAGGGGTAAGAAAACCAGGCCAATAGCAACCTAGTAATGGGTTTTTCATTCTTTTCATCTCTTTCCTCCAAAACAAACAGAATTAGGTGATGCTGAGAAATCCATGACCAAACATTTTTTGCCACTGCTCTCTGTTATCTCGCTGCTTTACTTCTCTGTTTTCTAACTCTTCCTGTGTGCCTTCATCCCTGACCTTTCTGTTTCACCTTTTCCATCAGCAACAAAATGGTGGGAGATCTTGAATCTTTCAGCTAAATAGTCTTATCAAGTAAGAAATACCTAGTGCAAATTATCCTAGCAGATAATTTAGTAA